TAGAATGACGATCTGAAAGTTGTTGTGAAAGTAACTTAAATTAAGATATGAAATACTAGTCAAACATTAAAAATATAAGACTTGATATAAAAAGCAAGAGAAATAAAACCAAAGAAATACTATATAATAAATATTCCAAAAATAATTACTACCAAAAAATGTCATAAGACTAAATTCTGAGACCTTTATGAATACTTTTTCTTTTTTTTTATAATCAATCTTTGTCTGTTAATGTTAGTTTATTTCTATGCATGAAATATTTAAGAAAATGAAGTAAATTTAATTTCAACCCTAAACTAGGAACAACAAATCATAAACCTAAACAATTAAATTAAAATTATTTACTTGCACCCATTTAATTACTTTTGCCTGTGTTTTCTTTCTTTTTTTTCTAGGACCATAATTACTTTTTTAGTGTCCAGAAGATAATTACCAGATCTACAGTAGCCAGTCGTTAGCTTTTTATAATCTCCCAAGCTTAAGTTGAATTTTCATTGCAACAGCCAAAGTTCAGCCCAAAATTTACGGTCTAATTAAAAAGCAGCATGAATATTTATCAAGTCAATTTATGATCTATATTTCCACAACAACAGATCAAAAACTGAATTGATATTCTTATATCATATTCAAGAATCAAAGAAAAACAAAAACGTCAACATTCGAGCCATGCAATTAAAACTGAGGCATAAAACAAGTCAACAGCCATGTTGCAAAATGCAAGAAAAGTTTGAATCTATAAATGACTCGGTTGTAAGTAGCAGCAGGCCATTAGCACACGATCCGATAAATCTCGTCAATTAAAGAACTGCCTTAATATTGACAATTTATTCACTAATAATTACATACACCATAATGACAAGAGCAAAATATAGTGGCAGGGTAGTTGATGACCTACATGGACTTTGTAGACCTATTCTTCTGGAGCTCTGGTAACCAGAAACAAGATGCCAGAAGGTTATTGGCCAATCTTTTTGGTGTCATTTGTTATTACCTGATATATAAAAGCATCAGTGATTTGTCCAAAGTTTATTCCATGGAGAACAATCAATTATCACAAACAGCTTGAACCTGTGGAGAGATTACCAGGCTTACAATTGGCCATTTTTTTTTTTGTTCTTTTTGGGATTTTTTATTTTGTTTTTAGTATTTTTTTCTAATATTTAATAACAGTAAAAGATTAGAAAAGAAGAAAATAAGAATAATAAAAAAAAAATCTTTGAGAAAACAGCAGTAAAGTTGTTTTTTTGTTTGTTTTTTTAATGGTAATCTATTCCACTGAGCTTTATGATGAGTAATACAAGAAACCCCAAAAGAAAAAAAAAATACCAAATACCTTACAAATTCCCACTTGGTTTCAATATCAGGTATCTTTAAACAAAGAAAATTAAAAAGCAAGAATTGGTAGTGTCATTAGTCAATTTGTTTAAGAGTCACTAAAGTCTGTTTACATCACCTGTAAGTGAAACCTAGCTAAAATGGTTGGATTTCACTGACATTTTGTTTAAAGATGAGCAAGAAACAGAAAATGGGAATATTAGCCAAAATCTGGTTCATTTGTTTTTCTTCCAACAGAAATGATGATAAACAGACACAATTCTCAAATAATTTGCAGAATCATTTGGAATTGATTACTTTTATACTTATAACTTTTTCTGTGTTTTTTTTTATTGATGTTTGCAAAAAAGAAAAAAACAAAATTACTGAAAAGAATTTTTTGCAGATACAAAAAAAGAAAAAGATAAATGAAAGTTGCTTTTCCTAATTGAGAGGCAAGACATCAATATAAACAATGTGACTCATTGATTATAAAGACTCACTACCCAATCATTCAACAAAGAACAAAATGAACAAACGTCCAATTGGTCTCTGTACACTCATCAACTCTTCTTTACAACGTAGATGTTCATATGAAAAAAAATTGTAATTTACTTTTAAACAACTTAATTTTAACAATTTCTTTCTTAATCAAATTCAGGATGACGGAATTAGTCAAAGACGAAAGCGTCTACAGATAAAGAAATACACAAATCAAATGTAGAAATGATTTAAATTCTAAAAAAAAATAAATTTTCAACTCAAGATAAATTCCGACATCTTGCTGACATGAAAATCTTTTCTGTCAAATTGAACATCCAATGATGTTCCTTAAGATCATTTATAAAGAGGCAAAGTTTTCTATAAAATTGTGAAATTCTTTTTTTCTTTTTTACTTTTGCTTCCTGTTAAATGACTAAAAAATTATTTCAGTTTATTCTCATATAAATTTAAGATCTGAATATGCCGATAAAAATGTGTCTCGTTATCTACAATGTAGACATCGATTATTAAAATATCAAATTATATTTATAAAATCATTTTACACACACAAACTTTAAAGAGTGAGAGATCATGTAATGTGGATCAAGTAAAATACCATTTAAAAACAGGATTTGTTTCTTATCGTTCACTTTGTAAATGTATTCAGTTTTCAAAGAGCAAAAAAATATTCACTGTCAATATCTATATTGGACAAGTCATATTGTCATTTAGTAGCACTTTAAGATGTGTGTGTGTGAGTGTTGAATATACTAAGTTTAACATCTAAACAAAACGAACAAATCTTTGTTTCTAGTTCAAATAGGCTTTTCCCAAATTGAAACTAAAACAAAGCTTTACTGCCATAACCTCAAAGATGATCTAAAAATATAAGAATTCCTTTCCTCTTTTCCTACCCGTCCCACAAATGCAGTTACATTTATAGACATTCTTTCATACACTAAATATAACAATTATTATGGGATGCAAGTAGTATCAAATACTATCTCTATCCCATAATAGTTCTGAAATTTATATAAACATTTCATACACTAAATGGAACAACTTTTATTGTCCCCATAATAATTGACATGACATACACATTTCATACATTAAACATAACAACTATTATGGGACATGGGTAGTATTTTGTTAAAGATGAGATAACCGAAGAAGATTAAATTTGTTAAAATTCTTTCTGCTATTTCACTTTAACCAGTTTACTGTCCATTAAGAAGTGGAAATCTTTCTTAAAAGAACTGACAAATTAGTTGTTCATAATCAGCCATCATTAAAAGCAAATAACACCAGACTGGATAACTCTAAGCTTACAGAGTAATATAAAAATATTAAATGCAATTGCTACATTAATTTCAGATCACAGAAACAGTGTTGCTGTATGAGATGAGAGAAATAGATTTATAACAATTGGAATACTGTAGTATATTAAGGCTGCATGCACAATCAACCACATCTTCAAGGAGATTTTTTCAGCAATGAAAGACCAAAGCATTTGAAAATAAGTTCTGCAAAAATACTGCTAAAATTGTGTTAAAAATGTTGTTATTGAGAGATGTTATACTGGCAAGACTGGAAAAGTAAATTCTTACAAACTTTCTTGATACCATCTTTATTTTGTCTAAATTTTAATAGATAATTAATAATATTTCAAATAGGGAAAATTATCTATGTGTAATACATAAATAAATTTCACTTTATTTTCATTTTTTTTTTTAAATCATAACCAAATTTCAATTTAATCATTCACTGACTTAGTTCTTGTTGCATAAACTTGCTATCATGAAATGATTTTTTCTTTATAAAAGTTTTTAAAATAATTGAATACATATTTCTAATTTTCTCAAGAAGAATGTATTGAAGATATGGTTTGACTACATGTCTATATGTTGTTTCTTTTTTTTTTTGTTTTTCTGCAATGGAAAAAAAATTCATTTTGACTCTTTTGATCAACTAACAAGGAATATTACTGCCCATTACAGGAGATTCTTTCAAAATAATTCAATTTCACAGTTATTTGTACAAATGCTTAGAACTAACATTTTTTTTTTCCATATTGCAAAATATTTGTAAAATTTCAAAACGAGCTCTCTTTTCAAATATCCAGTGAAATAATTCAATCTACATTGGTTACTGTATCTGGGCAATGACATTTATAAAAAAAAAAAAAAAAAAAAAAAAAAAAATGAATGTTTGTTTTTTGGGTTTTTTTTTTTTGTATTTCTTTTTATAAATTAATTTTAAAAGGCATTAGTATTTGTTAAAGATTTACGTCTGATTGCTGAGGTGAATTTTTTTTCATTTTTTCCATTTTTTTTTTTTTTTTTTTGTTTTTCATAAAACAACAATGCATAACAGTGATATACTTACCATTTATAAATGAGTTTCAGTTTCTGCAACTATCAATAACAAACAATTGAATGTTGAGCGTTTTGAAGAAAATACACAAGGGGTGCTGAAAAGTTCTCGGCCCAGCTGCCCCTCACCAAATTCTGATCAATTAACCAAACATCAGAATTTATTTTTGGGGGAGGAAAGAGAATTTTTCAGCACCACCTTGTATATATTGTATGCCCGCATAGACATGCAGAAATTTTGTTATACAATAATATTAGATCAAACAAGTACATATGTTTTCGAATGAACATTGCAATACATATTGAAATAGAATGTAATTTAAATGATGATAAAGACTGATTTTTGGGTAGTAATTTGAATGAGGCAATCATAATCCTGTTACAGTTTGCTGATTCTTAATAATGGTTAGAATTTAAATTAACTGTTCATGAGGGAAGAGAAGGAAAAAAAAAAAAAAATGAATCAAACCTGACAGATCGCTCTGTCGGATTGCTGACCAAGAAACAGATGACAATATTTATTCTTGAGCAATTTTGTTTTCAGAATTCTCAATATTTTCTTTTTTTTTTCTTCTAGATTTTAAATTAAGTTTATATCATATTTGTCATCATTATTCTTCTGTTTAGAACTGTCCCAAAACACAGTGGAATCATTTGTAAGATATCTTTTCCAAATTTCTTTCTTTTCTTTTTTTCCTTCACTTGAAAAATAAAAAAAAAAGAAAAAAAAATCAGTCACCATCATATTATCCCAAAAGTTGGCAGGTGGAAGTGGGGAGGGGGATAACATTAAAAAAAAAAAAGTGCTGCTATATAAGGTGAATGGTTTTGTTAATATGTTTGAAGGGAGTGGGTGTACTGTTTTCCTTTTCCAACGGCAGCAGTAACTGCTGATTCACAGTCTGAGTGATCATCTCCACAAATACCACCACCATGACAATCGCGCACGAAGGGAAGAGAAGAAAGAAAGAAAGAAGAAATAATAATCAGCTTGTAAAAGATTCTTTTCTCCTTCTTTCTTTGAATGCTTGTTGGGTTAATTGAATGAGTTACTAACAGCCTGAAAGACAGTGAACACAGATCTAATCCAAGTCTTGAATGATTGCAACAAGATTAGAAGTCAGTTCGGTTGCATTCCCAGCTATGACTTGTCAACACCAGTATCTGTGCAGAGGTCTGCATTTTCTGTAAAATTTAACCTTTGGCTTTCAACCTACAAAAAGAAAATAATACACTCTTTTTAAAAACATAGAATATTATGAAGACACTCCAATTAAAAAAATGATGACAAACAAAAAAAAAAAAACAAACAATCCTTTAAAACCTAAGAACAAAAGGGAATCGAAAAATCAAGACTTGAATATAAAGATGCACCAAAGCGAGTTGTCAGTGATGTGTGTCCTGGTTTCATTGCAAGTTTTCAGCTTTTACACATCATACTCGCTCTACCAGTAATCTGACCTGCTTCTGAAGATAACGGGTCCCCCACCTTGATAGAAATACTAAGAAAACACGTGCTCAATGTGAGAATATTAATAATAACAACAAAAATATTTAAAAAAATTCAAAATAAAATAATGAAATATACTAGCAAAATTGTGAACAAATAAAGAAACAATTGAAATGTGGAATAAAAAATATAAATTTGAATGTGAGAATTAAAGAGAAATTAAATAAAGAATAAAAAACAAAATATAGAAGCCAAAATTTTATTATAAAACAAAATATAAAAGTATTTGCAATATATTTAAATTATATATATATTTACATCTACCAAAATAAACTAAGTACATTTTCTTTGTTGCCTAATGAAAAGTGGAGGTGGGACTTTTTAAAGGAAATATTTTTCACCTGCCCACTATCAAACTGAAAACAAATTATTGTAACTGCTTTAATTGTTATGAATGATTCTATTCCATTGCATTTTTTAAAACACTAAAACACTTTGCGATTCTTTGATAAATGTTGTCTTTTTTTTTTTTCAACTTTATTCGTAGCGAAATAGAAAACAAATATGAAGAAGACAATTCACATCTTCAAAATCTGTTTGAATAAATTTTATAAACAAATTGCTTTAATTTTTTAGATTTGACAACAACCTCGTCCCCAGAAGTTTTTTTTTTTCACTTTCTCATAAGTCGATGGTACACGAATGTACTTTTGATTTTTATGTGAGTTATACTAGTTGATATTTAATTTATGCTTTTTTGCATACTAATTTAGTTGTTCCGGAGTTTCTTTGCATGGTGCTATCTTACCAAAAAGTGCAAGAAATCCTAGAAATAAGGTTAGCTGTAACAATAGTGGTTCTGGAAAAAAAAAAAAAAAAACATTAAACTATAAATTTTTTACACTTTAAATGATTTTCCAAACCCACTTTTATTACCTCCAATTACATTTATTGCATATTGAGAAAAATTCGAACACTGCCCCCACCTTGTATTAGGCACCTAATAGTAAAATTAAGAATTATTAATTTTGACTAGTAATTTCTTTAATCTTGGATTTTATTTTTATTTTTTTTTTTTTTTTTTATCACAACTTACTTGCTCATAATAAAAACAGGTCATAAACTGAAAATCTTTAATATTTCTGTGCTGTTTGTCTGCTATCATAGACTGATGGTCTGAGTTGTAATAAAAATCAATCTCTCCATTAGTTTTGTGGTGCATTCTCCCAACATTCATACCATGGGATTTTCAAACCTATAATTCCTATACTTGTAGTAGTGTTAAGTCTCATACAGTCTTACTCAGGACATGTCCGTAGTGTAGTGGTTATTCACACAGAAATTGGGGTTAGCATGTCATTTTAAATTTCAGTTTTCTCACAAATACTCTTAGGAAGGTATTAAGTATTGAGCTAGGAGTTAAATAACAGGGAAAACTGCTTGCCATTTAAGGCGAGTGAGTTCAATCTAAAGTTTACAAGCTATGTCTTGCCCCAGCTAACAACAGAATGAAGGTTATTTTGGAAATCTGCTGCCAGTTTTATATTTCATCCTTATCAGACTTATTATTAAGACAGGAACAAATAGGTATGTCATCAACATAAATACCTAGTCAGGAACTGCTGACATCTGGAAGGTTGCTGATGAAGATAATAAATAATGTATGTCCAAGGATAGAGCCCTTTGTGTAAGATGTGCCCATTAATGTGTAAGAATTTAATGCCGGTGTCTCCCTGGACTCTATCCTTGGAACTACTTTGTTTCTTATTGTGAAGGTTGTTATTAATGAAGATGTCATTAGTTTTCAACTTGGTATTCATGGTGCAGTAAGCAAAATAAATAAACTGCATGTAATTCACACTAATATTTACGACTAAACCT